AACACATGGGTGTTCCCATGCGCGAAAACACGGTGATTAGTTTTGGAAGGTTAGGAAAGGCGAAGAAAGGGCCTCAGTGGTACCGTGCGTAACACATGAGCCCTTGGAAAGGGTAATCACGGCTCAATCTGGCTTGGGGTTGAAGAGTTGCAAATAGCTCAGTATCAAAACGAAGTAGTTTTTGAACAAAATGGCGTTCATTTATATAATTAATCTCCACTTACTTGAATACTTGGTTGACCTGTCTTCACTTGTTGTGAAGGTCCAGCAAAATTTCCACTCTTTCCTTTCTCGCACAGTCGTCGTTCATGATGGCGGTTTGCTTCGAACATGGTGACGTCCACGAGGGCCATTTCGTAATCCTGAAATCGTTGCTATCTGCGAGTGCAGTTGGTTGACTTTGGCCACGAACACGTACATTGGTTAGGTGGCCTTCCAAAAGGACGCTTGCATTCTCTTGGAGTCCACTTCACTGTTCTTTTCGTCCAACGTCTTTTTTGTCGCCTGCTTTTATTATGTGATCGGCATGTCTATTTCACTGTTGAAGTGTATTCTAGATCTCGAAGATGAGTTAGGTTCCGAAGATCTAAGCAGCGGATATCTCGCGTAGACGTTGCGAGTGCCAGTTAAATTGCAGAAGACATCGTTCAAGCGCTCTGTGGGTGGTGCGCAATATTGTTGATGTGGTTGAGGTATCAGCCCAAGTATGTGCTGCATAACAGAGCGCTAGGAAGACTGTTAAATAGAAAAGATGAGCGTGGAGTGTTGGTTCCTTTAGTTCGTCGACAGCTTCTTTGAGTTGCCCGAATGCCGCCCACGCTGCTCTGCTTCTAATGTCTATTTCCTCTTTCATATTGTTTCTTATGGTAATTGAATGCCTAAGGTACAATTACGAAGTGGTTTCTGTAATCAGAGAGTCATCCGGTTCAATTTGTTCACCTTCGCGCCATAAGTTCTTCATGAACGGGCCTCTGGTCCCAATTGTACGCAGTCCTATCTTTTCTCCTTCTTCGTTAAGCTCACTGAGCGTAGTCTCTGCTTCACTGATACCCCTCGGAAAGATGATGATGTCATGTTCGAAACGAAGTTTTGATAGGAATTTCCAATCAATACGTATGCCTTTTTCGTCCCAATCAAGTGACTTCATTATCCATTGCAGTGCTGTTGTGAAGAGCTTTGACGATATTCTGCCGCTTTGTCACACCCTTTTCCTAAGGGTGTGGTGAGAGATCGATGAAAAAGTTGTGTATTTGTGCTGCAGTTCCGATAACAGTCTGCTAGTATTCATACATAGGACGGGTGCACTCTTCGGTCGACGAGCGCTGTTAGGACTGCATTCGTTTCGACACCGTCAAACGCTTTTTCGTAGTCGACGGAAATTAGGACTAGAGGCAGGTCGTATTCCCAACACACTTCAGTGATCCTGGGCACAGTTTGGATGTAGTCTATGGAGTAGATTCCCTGTATAAATCCTGCTTGTTTTGCCGGTTCTACCTCGGTTCTACCGGCTTCGATGTTTGCAAAAGAGTGATCTTCGTGAACAACTTGTAGAGTACACTCAACCAGTACATCAGATGGTAATTACTAAGATCTCCTCGGTCACCCTTCTTGGTTATGATAACCGTACGCTAGAGCTTTGGGATTTTCACTTTCTGAAGGTAAGACGTCATGTGGATTGGTGAAGTACGTGTAATTTGTGGCCAACTGCTCTAAGGAAATCGGTGGTAATATTATCGGGTCTTGGAGCTATGCCTTTTTTAATGATTTGTATCGCAACGCGAACTTCAGAAGGTAGAATCGCGGGCGGTTTTTCACCAGTGAGTATTTCGGGGTCCGAGAAGGGGATTGTTGGCAATTCCATATCATGGCGGGCTGTTGTGGTAGTTCCTTTATCCATTTATCAGGGCGGATATCGGAACATTATAGTCATAGAGATCCCGACGGCACTTTGTCATACTGAGTCGTTTTTAAGCTATCTCTAGTAACTTTCCTGCTTATACCGATGTAAATCCTCCAAAGATTTACGGCTGGCATCTATTGTCACCCTTGTTAAGCGAGTGTGTTGTAGTAGGATGGAGCTTCAGTGTCGTTCTCTTTTTGAGCAGCTTTTTAGTGGTAATGGAGATGCAGTCTGAACTTCTTGTTTGAGGAACGGAGTCGTCTGAAGTTTTAAGTCCTTCGCCAAGCAGCGTTTAGTCCTCGGTCGGATCTTCGTTTAACTGCCAGTCATATGAGAAGAGGATTTTGTTGAGAATAATCGAAAGTTAAGCAATCAATGGGTCAGTGTGGCAAAGGTTGCGGGTTTAAAATCATCGGTTATTTCGCAGTCTGAGTACATAAAGTTCACCCGGGAGAAACCGAGAGAAAACTGGCTTCCGTTTTTGGACGTCCAAATAAACCTATCAAGTAGCGGTTACCTGACAAAGTGGTATCGAAAGCCAAGTAACAAGAACATCCTTGTCCATTTCCTTTCTTCCCACCCTTCACACACAAAGAGGACGATTGTGAGAAACATGTTTCGAACAGCCACCTCTGTGTGCACTACCAGGGAACTAAAGGAAGAGTCGGGCGACTTGGCTCGGCAAATAGCCATCTCCAATGGCTACGAAATACTAACCCCACGAGATAAGTTTACAAGGAGAGCGACGCGCCCACGCGAAACGCTTGGCCAAAAGAAAATCCCGTTTATGTTACCTTTTATAAGCGATGAAGTAAGCGTAGCTATAAAACGATGCTTTAGAAGGGCAGGTCTAGCGGAATCGGTAGCGATAGTTGAAATACCACCGGCTACTCTACGTAGTTAATTAGTTCGTCACCGCCTGTATGACCGTCTATGTGAAACAACAAATTGCGTAATTTGCGCTTACGGCAAGGACGGTGATTGCATGAGTTCAGGTACGATATACCTGATCTCTTGTAATAATTGCGGAGATGAATATATTGGCGAAACGGGCAGACCTTTGTGTATCGTATAAAAGGACACCTAGATGGCAAACGAAAACTATGACAAAGTACCCCCCTAGGCACGCATAGGATACAAAAGCATAGCGGAGACGATTTTGAAGTAAAAGTCAATACCCTTGCACAGGAGTCTAAAACACCAGCGCGAAAACTCCTTGAGGCTTTTTGGATAAGTGCCAAAAACCCTACAATGAAAAGCAGGGAGGAATATGAATGTGTCGTTTTCTTGTTCAGCAATCGCGAGGTTTTTAAACAGCATACATTTACTTCCATAGAAAAAGTCGTCAACCACATGCGACTATAATCAGCTGTTCTAAACTTCCTCATTGGAAGTCACGAAAAAGCGGCTCTGAAGAAGGCGATACTGCCGAAACGTCAGCTAGCGTTGTATTGTATTGTGTTTCTCTATGGAAGCAAATGTATGCTGTTTAAAAACCTCACGATTGCTGAACAAGAAAACGACACATTCATATTCCAATGCCGAGGTTAAGAGAAAGTCGATCCTGGGAGCAGGGAGGAATGCCCAGAGGTCATACGCGACCTGATCCCATATGTTCGCATCAATTCCCGATTTGGGGATTGTGCAGTCATCAAACTTATGCGACTATAATCAGCTATTCTAAACCTTCTTTTTGGAAGTCACGTAAAAAGCGGTGAGTTTTTTGAGAAGTTGTTAAGCTCTGAAGAAGGCGATACTGCCGAAACGTTAGTTAGTATTGTATTGTATTGTGTTTTTCTATGGAATTAAATGTTTGTCGTTTAAAAACCTCGCGATTGGTGAACAAGAAGACGACTATGAACTCAGTTATGTGTCATACTATTGTTATGTATCGGTTTGTTTTCACAAGTCCACTAACTCTTGAAAGTTCTTCGGCTTCACCTAAACACTTACCAAAAATCTTCATTCACGCAGTTTCCCATATCATATGACCACATCACATATCCCATTTGGGTAGTGCTTTGCTAGTTGCTCTAGTTTTTTTCTACTTTGCAGAGTAAGTAAAGCTACAATTAGGCTTCCGTAGATCATCCAGAGAACCACAAGCCGAGGGAGGTTTTCTGTCTTACAACTAGGTTTCTTTCTAGGTGACAGCAGTTATTGGCTTCATAGCTTCAATTTTAGCTGGTTGAATGTGCACCTTAACGAAAACTTGGACGATTTTTCGGAAAGGATGGACTTTTTGCCACTTAGTGCAGTTCATATCACCTATTCGTCTAGGTGAGACGACAAATTTTTTTCGATGCAAAAGTTCATCTAAAAACACTTGGAGCTTATATGGCCCGTCTTCCCAATGAATCGTGCTGTTCCAGCACAATTTTGACTTGACTGGTATTATTTTTGCTTATTTTCGAGATTGTTTTCCCCCGATTTCTAGCTGTCTTGGGACTTCCAAAGCTGTCACTGCAGGCATCGCCAACGTTTGTTGGAGGGCATCGGAACGCTGGTGCGTTTCGGTTTTTCTTCCCAGCACTAGCACGATTCGTGAAATAGGTTTCTTGGTTTTCTTTAAATTCTGTTAGATTTGAGGCACATTGCTGGTTGATGAACTGTCCTATACATCTGCGTTAGACAGCTAGAACTCTTTTGTATCGGCGAGGCAGTAAGCATTTGGGAAGGTTTATTCAAAAAAAAAAATTTCAATGATGCTGAAATATTGGCAAAACTCCGGACCGCAGGTGTCTGCGGTGGAGAACGAACGCGCTGTTGTCCTTTCCGGGGAGTAACGCGTTCACCACAACACCATTCTGATTCTTCTGGGATTCGTTGACGATTTGGGCTCCTCAGATCAATCCCGCTGACGACTGTTTGCTGACGGAAAAAGATCGATAGAACTAGCTGAGAGACAGGCGAAACGAAGGACCCGCATGGTGTGGTGGTGAATGTGTTACTCCCCGGAAAGGATAGTAGCGCATTCGTTCCCCACCGAAGGCACCTGCGGTCCGGAGTATTGACAATATTTCAGCATTATTCAAAAAAAAAAAATTAAAAACACTGCAATGAGTTGGATTTTTCCCACCATCCTTTTTGTTGCATCTCTATGGATTCGCAACAGCTTTATTGTTCAGAGCAGGTGTGGTCGAATATTCGTGATGCATACGAGAACAAAAGTGTGCAAAGCGTAAAAAGGACACTGCAACTTCATTCGCTTAGTATGTTCGATGTATAGCAGAGTCTGTTTCTTTCTGCTCCGGCAATGTAACGAAGTGTTGCCCTGGAGATTTTCGTGGATTTTGGTTATATCCTTGATTCTTCGTCACTGGCTATGTTATAGTTGGAATGAAATCTCTCAGAACAACGTTGAGTTCAACAGATTGCTTGTGGTCTTCGTAAAGCATTCTGTTTGTAAAATTTTACTCTTCATTATTTCTAGTGCGAAATTTATATGCATCTCTTTCTACATTCATGACTAGTACTAAGGTTCTGTATTTTATTGCTATAATCGCAGTTGTCAGTTATAGTGGTGATTTAATAGTTTCCCCTATGTTGTAGTTATTTCAGTGTCTTTGCGAATCGGTGCTTGAATCGCGAATTCGTGAAGCGATTCGACAGCGCGACGACCAGTGGCGACGACACGAACGCGAGCAGATCGTCTTTCTTCAGAACGAAACGGCCATGATGCTTCGTGGACTGCACAAAGAGATTGAACGACTTGGACATCAGCTGAGAGGTTGGTTGAGAAGCGAAATTTGGTCAGGCCGACATGATCAGGCCGATGTATCTCGTGATTCCGTGATTCCATGAGTGCGTACGCCAAAATTTTTCCATGCACTTTAGAGATGTTTTTTCATGAATGATTAGTGAAGGACAAACATTCTGTTTGAAGCATCGAATGAAAATATAACGATTTTGATTCCAACTTGCTCTCCATTAAAACACAGCTTGAGAAAGGTACTACAAAGAAGCAATAGTTTTAGGGAGAACGTGGCAAAAAAGAAAACGCAGTTCTTTGGCCGTAGTGACCTCATAGAGTAGACAGTGGTATTCGTGTCAATTACAAAATCGAAACCATAGAAAGCACTAGAGCAAGGGGACAATGAAATGGGCCATTTTGGCCGTCTTTGATCGAGTAAGAGATGAGTACTTCTCGAAAAATATTCAGTACTAGGCAGGGCGTTTCGTGGCACTCAATCAGCTGAGTGTTGCTTGTTTGTGTTCGTCCATTTTTAATGAGAACTGATTTGCATTTGTTCGTAGATGCGAAGCGTCAGCTCTACGTACCGGACGAGTCACTGTGTGATCATTCGTGTATGGAGAGAGAAATCGAACAGCAACAACTACGAATCGCTCAACTTGAACAGGTGTGAAATTTTGCTGTTTTTCTTCAGTACTACTAAAACACACATGTAAAATAGAAACGTTAATCTAACAAAAATTTCATACCATCTTCGTGTTTTGCTTAATTATTCAAGAAAATATTGATTAATCACGCCGAGGTTAAAAGGAAGTCGGTTTCTAAAATAGAAAATGTACTGTTCTGGCCAATACTATCTACTGTATAACTTTTATCTACTGTTCATAATTTTTTCACGGCAGGGTATTTTGTGAAATGGAACCACAATGATGTTGAGATATTCGCAAAACTTGGATCACGGGCCAGGTCGAACCAAGGTTACCTTTTCCGGTGGCACACGTGTTATGCAGGGTACCACTGGTGGGCTCTCGTTCTGCCTTTCTCTCAGTCATACTTTTTACCGTAACGGTTCTATCAGCAACCACTCATCAACGGGAGTGGTCTGGGGAGCGCAAGTATCTCAGCATCATTGTGACTCTTTACTGTGTTGCTGTTTTGGTACTTTTTTGACGTACAAATGCAGTCTTCAGTTGTCGTTCAAGTGGTTGTTGGATTTAGTGGCGGTTTAGAACTCTTCGAAAACCAGTCACAAAATTGCGACGTTTTAGCCGCCAGTTGTCTTAATGCTATCTCCGTTTTTTGAACGATCTCGAAACCAATCATGTTGATCCATCTGCTTTGATTGCAGTGCTTACCGATGATTTATTGAAATTGGTAATGGTCGACTCCTTGGTTTTAAAAACAATTGGCTGTTATATGACGATAAAGTTTTTCAACGGAAAATTGTTGGTTATAGGATCACACGAGTTAGCTATATGAGATTTGCGCTCACGTAGCGTAGTGGTTAGAGGTGCTCCGCAATAGACACGTGGTCATTGGTTCGATAGCGCACCATGCTCACCAAGCCCTTCATTTCTACAGCTTCGGGCAGTTGCTCCTAAACATGTCTGGGAAGATAACAGCACTTCCTGGATACATCGGTAGGCCACCTCAAATCATAGTATAGGCTAGATATGCATGCAATCATCTCTAAAGATGTTTGATGAAATCGAATGCGTGGCGCCTCTCTCAAGAAGTAATCATCGTCGAATCCTCTACCCTTTATCGTTTATGCTATTTCCGAATTTCCCTGTGTTGAATATTCTGAACAACTACAAGGATGCTGAGATATTTGCAAAATTTCAGGCTTCAAACAAGAATAGGCAGTAAATAAAGAGCGATTACGCCGGACAATATTTTGGTAAACCCTTGCTGTTGACAGTTTTTCTCACCATTACGATAATCTGTTTTCCTATCTGTTGTACAGTGTCGTGCCGGTTTATTCGTCCAATGGGTAGTCGACTTGTACTTTTTTTTTTGTAAAAAGAAATTTGAACAGGGTTGTACGTAAAGGTGTGACGATCTGTAATTTCATGGTGTTTGAGAAGATTTACCTGAATACGATGTCTGTGTGTAACCTTACTCTTTTGTTGTATCGATGTACGAATAAATAAAAAGGATAAAAGAGATGCACTGTGCATTCCTTTCACTCAGATTCCACTCGGAGCATGAGAAGGGTCAATAGATATTTGGCCTATACATTGACTGGCGGTGGCTAACAGAAGTATCAAGCTCGTGTTTTAATCCTCCAGGACAACTCTGGTAGTTCTTGGCCCCAAGGAAGGGGTAGTTTGGTTTATCCTGAGAACAGAATCAAACAAACTGCTATGTATTCCAGTGCACCTCTAAGTACTGCGCCACATGCACCTTACCCTTTTCAGACATTTGAAGGCGTGCACAATGTTGTCTAATTTTTTAAAATCAGGCTTTGATTAGCGCTTCAAATTTTCGTTTTGATTATCTATATTGTCGTCTAAAGTTCAATTGATTGTGATTCCGGTCACTCATAAATGGCGTTGATTGAAGACGATTAGATCAAGTAGCTTTTAGTAGAAAACATTCTATTGCACGTAATGAATTTATTTGTAGCCCATAACAATTTAATTTTTTGTTTGCTTGTTATCCGTAGTCTTCGTATGAATTGTTGTTTTTTTAAGTGTAAAGTTCATCATGTATTTTAGTTTGTTGTCATTTCTTCTGTTTAGGAAGTCCGTGAGAAGGAACAACATGCCAGCAGCGTTGAAAATAAAGTAACGGAAGAGATTAAAAAACTTCAAGAACAGATCAACATTCAGGTAAAACCTTCGAATTTGTTTTTTCAAGCGAAGAAAAACAAGAAATCGAGTAAAAATTACTCATTTTATTATTTTACACCGCCAGTCTTTCACATCTACTGTGCCGCTTCCATGTACCAGCCACGACGGTCTTCGAACTTTTCGCATATGCCTTCAACTGCTACTTGAGGGTTTTCTCTTCGTCACAAATGTCGTTGAGAGATGGTCGACTCGGTTTTCTCCGTAGTCCTGAGATAGCCGGGCTAGAGCGTTCCCATTTGAATTGTAGAGAGTGAACTTTTCACAGACAGGTCTAGGACCAGTTTTCCGAGCATAGTGGGATTAGAGGCTTGGTGACCCCGGAGCGGGATCGAAGCATTACCTTGCTCGTGATAGTCGGCGAAAAGTAAAGCTATTTAATTAATGAGAGGAATACTTGTGCTAATAGTTGATTCTCATTCAGGCTGATCGAATTCGACAACTCAATTCCGAACTAAACGAACGTAACCAAACTGTGGCTTACCTTAGTAGTCAGGTAAGGCAACATTTTTCTTCTTACTTGGGTTAGCGTGTTCAACAGGAAGTTGAAAAAATACGGAGGAAACATCGGTAGAACACAAGAGAACCTCAGGTAGCTCAGAATTGCTTGAAGTCGGTGATCATCCACGCTTTATTCTTCGTTCGTCTTCGATGAGCTCATCCTTTCGTACAATAACGAGTTCCAGTTGCGATCTTACCGTCTTCGTGACGCGATGGCAACGGCCCAGCAACGTCGTCGAGCGTCGTCCAACAACTGCTCAAGCACCAGTCCGATTGTTTCACCGTCATCTCCGCATCGAATATTCCCACCGAAAGGTCTCGTGTCCGCCTCAGTCACTGTCTCCTATCCGGGTATTAAGAGCAGGTGAATCCTCGTTTAGGAACATTCTTCCACATTATTAGTGTTGACTAACTAGTATCTTATCTGGTACTTTTTTGTCAAACCTATTTAAAGAGCTGTTCTTTTCCTCAAGAAATCTAACTGAAGGGGCTAATAAGCATTGTATAACCCACCTTTTCCTGTGGAAGAATAGCGACAACGTCGTCGACTCGGAACTACTGGAGTAACCATTTCTTGTCTAAAAAAGTTTGGTGTCCAGAATCTTTCCTTAACATTTTTTCAGTGAACGCTCCGGAATTGGCGATCGATTCCGAGGAAGAAAGTCGACATCAGATGTCAGCATGAATAAATTGAATTGAATTTTCTGAATTTTATTGAGTTTTTTCATAGCTACTCCATACCAGCGTCGATTTTTTTTACGATAGAGATCGTCGAAACTACAATTGTAGGAGTTTTTCTTCTGACAACAAAAACTTCTACAACTTTTAGACTCTCAGCTTTCTTGAACCCGGAAGAAATCGACGTTGAGAAATTGTCATCGGTTGAGATTTTTTGTTCGAACCATTTGTCTTGTTTCTGTTTGAGCGATCTTTTTGATGATGCCTTAACCATATACGTTTATAAGGCGTCCAGACAAGTACTTCTTCTCATCGGCGTTTTTATTCTGCAAGACAGCTTCGTTCTTCGTAGAACTGGATCCTGATTACACGCGAATGCAACTATAGAGTTATTTTCAGTTGTGATATTTCTATACAACGGATATTATCTGATTTATTGGTGCTTCATTTCGATAGACATAAGTGTTTCCTGTACAGACTAATGTTATACGATCAGTCCAATAAAATTTCTATGCAAAAAAGCTCTAGTTGTGCTTTGATAAGAAAAATTTTAGTCTTCTTGTTTCAAAGATTTCTAATGTAAGAAGTACGATCACTACCGACTGTTTAGGCTAATGAGCGCATCAGCGTTAAACTCTGTATTAAGTTGCTGAGATATTTGCAAAACTCTGGACCGCAGGTGTCTATGGTGGGGAACGAACGCGCTATTATCCTTTCCGGGGAGTAACGCGTTCACCACCACACCATGCGGGTCCTTTGTTTCGCCTGTCTCTCAGCTATTTCTATCGATCTTTGTCACAGCAATCGCCCGTCAGCGGGATTGATCTGGGGCACCCAAATCGGCATAGAACCCAGTTAAGCTGCGGCTTTAGTTGTCTGTATTAAGTATTCACAAAAAGGATAAAGCTCCTGACGTTGATCAAGCCCTGAGATATGCGTCATGCATTCGACTTCATGAGGCATCGTTTGGAGGTGATTGAATGCATATCTAACCTTTACAATGACTTGCGGTAGCCTACCTATGTATCGAACCAGTGCTGTTATCCTCCCAGGCAAGTTTGGTACCAATTTGCCGACCCCGGAAGGATGGAAGGCTTCATGGGTCGATCCCATCTGTGTTCCAGGGCGCCTCCGACCGCTTGTGTGGCGCAGTATTTACATACGTACTTTAATGTCAAGCTCATAATTCTGGAGAACTGATCCATTAGTACTGCCGACTTTTCCCATTATTCGCATGCTGACGGGTGCCGTGACTATTAAATGGAATGTGTCGTGTTCAGAAACAGTTCACTTTGTCTACCAATCATTATTATTGAAACGAGTTCAGGAAGCCTAACACTGAGTTTTGATGCTTTTTTCTCCAGTGATCGATGAAATTTGTGTTGTTTCCTTACTAACAAATATGTCTTTCTATTTGTGTCTCATCTTGACACTCCGTACATCAAAGACTTAAGCACTCTGAAGCACCGCGTCAGTTTTCATAAATTAACGCTCACAGTTGAGATGTGTAGTAGGAAATAAGGCGCACAACACTACCTAGTGGTGGGTAGAATTCGTAGAGGTACTGCTTCTCAGCAATCACTGCTGACGATTCCTTTTAAACTTTATATTTTCGGCAAGAGGCTCGGCTATTTACTATGAACAAAAGCGATGCTTCGCTTGAATACTTAGGCTTTTTCCACCAGCCACGAATAGTCTTGAAGATCCAAGCGCTATTTCCATTTAAGCGATAATTTACAGTTTCTGCAAAGCTTCCTGTGGACTATCGATAGCCGTGAAAGGGCTTTCGAAGTTGTTCATCACTTGTTAACTAGTAATTTTGTTGTTAGCAGGATGGCAACGACTTGTGGCAAATATTCATTCTTTGGTGGGTATCTGGTTGGAAATGTCGAACCGTTTCTTAGTACGGGAAACCCTACCGGGAAAAGAATCTCACGCTGCTCATTGAAGTTCAACAAGAGGGAACACCTTCCAGTGGCGATGAGGGGTAAACCATTAAGAGACGTCTCTTGAGAATTATTTCAAAAGAAAGACGTGTCTTCTGATTTTATCAGGTAAGAATCGCAACAAAATATCTATCTACTTAGATGCTTAAACAGCCCGTTTCTGTCGTTCGGGTCCTAGCACTTCTTCCATTCGTTTCGCTCTTTTTCACCTGTCATCCATGGAGATGGTCGCACTCGGCTGTAGCTTCAGCTGTGGTTTGAGAATGTGAACGTTGATTCCAGCTGTTAATACATCTGATTAATTCGCGTAACGAACATATGGCTTATATTCTTAACGCTCTCTATCCTTCAAGATTTTTTGATTCTCTGAGGATCCAGTTCCTTGTTCTCTTCGTCCACCTGTTATCTCCTCTTATTATATCACCTCCCCATCGATGTTTTTCTTGAAATCTGTATTCAAGTGGGCTCTAGAAATTTATGAAGATCACGTTTCGATCAATCATTAAAGAGGTCTTTTGACAATGGCCGAACGCTAAATTTGTTATGGAGCCTTGTTCATATGATACGCTTAGTCAGCGATTACTTCCCAATATTCTTTGTAGAAGAATTTAGAGTTATAGGCAGACTATTCAAGATCATTTCTTGTTCCTTTTTATTTCCAATTGATAAAGTAGCGATATCTGTATAGAGAACCACTCTCTTGAAAAGTTCTCTATCTATCTAAATAATAGTATTTGAAGTCCAAATATCTTTGTAATCTCGATCAATTATGTTCAGTGTTTCAGGCACAATAGCGATTCAGGTTTGACTTCAGTAGCATACCGACGATAGCTTATCCGAAGGAGGCGTAACAGTGGAACAGTTTACTACTTCCTTGCGAAACAACGAAGCTAATGACGTTTGATGTTTCAGGCAGTTAGGTACAGTCTATTGCGTTCCAGCAACAATCCAGATTAACCGCGGTTGCATACGCACGCGGCTCCCGCAGCCGATATAAGCCAGGTGCCTCCGACGGCGGAGATATGCCATCACTCACCTTACCCCCGATGGGTAGCGTGGATAATCCGCTTCTCACAACGTCATCCTCAATCATCCTCAACCACCTCAACTCATTCTTAGTCATACTCATTTATTCTTATTCAATCACATTCATTCACGCATTCACTTTCATCCTTCAGTAATCAGCAGATTATTGTATCTCGTTTCTCAGCTTGTCTACGGTGCGATGTCAGTAGGCCGGGTGTTTCCAAATGCGTTCTGTTTGCAACGCCATCGGTGGCATGTACCATTCCTCCCACAATGTACGCAATGCGTATAATGCCGCTAAGCAGCCAACTTATGCTATGTATTCTGCTAAGCCGCTATAGGCTTATCAGTTTTGTAGCCATTCATCATACTGGCCCTTACCCTTAGGAAATGGTGGCACCCATCGATGCTCAAAGTTCACGTCGCTGACATAGCGTTATTCACGACCAGCCGCCTGACAGTGTTCCGTAGATGACTCATCATTCACTGTCCATAGCACCGTCAACGCTCATGTAACTTACAGTCCTCATCGATCCACTAAAATGCTCCTCATCGCTATAATGTTGAAATCTTAGCTTGGCCGAAACATAGCCATTCTGTAATCCTCACCACCTCAGCATACTGTCTCCCTCAGCCGCCGAACCGGCCGCGGATAGACGCGGTGCGGCGCGGCATCGCTTACGGCTAACCAAAGGCTACTTCGTTATAATCTCATTACTATTGTTAATATTGTATTAATGGTATAATAATGTTTGAATGCCACTTCCTCATTGTTATCCTCACTTCACTACAGGCTTTAGCACCTCAGAGCTCTAACTTGTCTCATTCCTCTACTATTACTTTTCTATCGTTACTATTATGTAATTAGTGTTGTATTTATGTATTAAAGGTTTAATTACCCAAGTTTGAGGCTGGTAGATCAACTGCAACAACTAAAAGATCCGCGTTGCTAGTATTCTACATCAATCTGAACCGCTACACTTCGCCGCTAACCATTTCGTTACACCCTACCAAGGTTTAGCGTTTCATCGTGGCCGGGAAGTGTTCCTGGGTGTCGGGCTGCGATGTACGGCGGAAGGATTCTCGTAAGATAAGAGGAGTCTGAGGTTTCCATCAGGAAGCCCAGCTAAGATTAAACCAATACCAGGATCTACAACCGTTCTGGTATCAAACTAGTCGCATGGTAGCAAATCTCTTTCTGCTCTACAAGAGCGGTAATTGCCTGTGGTAGTGATGACCTGGTACAGGCTTTGGCAAGGCTGACCTCGCGACTCCAGGGAACAACAATGGCTTGACCAACAAGTCTCCGGAGAATGGAAATATGCTTGGGCCTGCACAATCATTGAAGATGGGTCATCCAAGTATCCATGTAAAGTACCGATAGCTAGTGTGGAAGTCAGTCGCGGCAGCACTCATTTTCTTCACTATGCACAAGAAAATAAAGTCACTCAATTGGCATGATGAAAGCAACTCTCGAATATCAGCGATTCAACAAATCGGTGGTTTTTAATGGTTTGAAATTGTGTTACAATGTTAGTGTTCTGTACTTAGGAAATAGTTAATCATTTTTGGAGCACGGAGAGAGGAGTTCGTCGGCTTCACTGAGATCGCAGGCTTTCTTCATGCGATGAACACCTATGTTTAGTTAAATTTCCGCATCTAATAAAAACGATAAGCGAAATAAAATGTTTGATGCTGATCAATTTCTGAAGAACGCA